GAGAGAGAGAGAGAGAGAGAGAGAGAGAGAGATGCACTGTGTGTGTGTGTGTGTGTGTGTGTGTGTGTGTGTGTGTGTGAGAGAGAGAGAGAGAGAGAGAGAGAGAGAGAGAGTTTTCAATCGATTGGTCGACCAACACAGCAGCCAACAGGTGAGTCTCCAACGCGGATTGAATCTTCATGGTACAACATCGAGATATACACTGCTACACACGTGTGCAAATGTGTGTGTGTGTGTGTGTGTGTTTGTGTGTGTGTGTGTGTGTGTGAGAGAGAGAGAAGAGAGAGAGAGAGAGAGGGTAGTTCTGCAATCAGACTCAACTCTGGACTTGCTCACAACATGCACACTTGAGAACCGATGGCAAAACTGAACTCTTTCAACTCAAAAACAACCATGAACTTGTCTTAAACTCAATCTTAACAACCGCACAACTTGCGGCTATGGCCGCCGAACACTGTCTCTACCACCAGCCTCACTCTCTCCCTCACTGTCTCATGCGTGCACGTACGAGGATCACCCTGAATGTCCCCACTCAGCACAGCCTCACACACTTTGAACACCTGTCTTCACCAACAGCTGGACGGCTATGGACGCCGTCGTCTTGCTCCTGCTAGCTATGGCCGCCGACATCTACCGCACTGGCCAGCTATGGCCGCTGTCATCTTCACTGCCCACTTCGTCTCCAGGCACCTGCAGACCTCCATGCACAAGACACCAAGGCAGCTCTTCSGCATGGCTCCCAGGCGAATGAATGAATGGCTGGACGCTGCCTGTTTATTTATACTTCTTCGGAGGTACGCGGACGCTGCCTCCAGACCTGTGGGCCTGGGCCAAAACGTGTGGCCCAGGGAAGCTTCCAGAGGTTTGGCCTTCTGGGCCAAAACGTGTGGAACTCTCTGCGTGCTCCAGAACCTTCCCCACGTGCAGCCCTTACCCAGGTACATGCTGGCTGGACCACCCTACAGAACCCTACGGACTTCTAGAACCTACAGACTCTACAGACTTTCGACAGACCCAGTAGAGACTTCTAGAACAGACTCTCTAGGCCTATTGGTAACAGACCTAGCTGCTAATCTACAGACCTAGGGATCAAGTCCTACTGGCCAAACTACAGACTAGCCTAAGCCGTAGGACAGGTTTGGGGATCGAATCCTACTCAGGTCACGGGGTCTATGTACAGGTACAGGGTAGGTCTAGGGATCGAATCTCACTCAGCACACAGGGCCAATGTACAGGGTTAGGGCACAGGTCTAGGGATCGAATCTCACTCAGCACACGGGATCTACGTACAGGGTTAGGGCACAGGTCTAGGGATCGAATCTCTGTGACTGCAGTACGCGGTCAACTGGGTGAAACCGTTTCGGTTCCATCGATAGGATGAGCAAAATCGATTGAATCTACCGCTACAACATGGAAATATACACTATTTGTTGTTGTTC